AACGCCTGTCCAATTTACTTGAAAAAACTACAGAGAGGGAGGGAAGACACAGGCCGGAGACAGACAGAGGGATCTTCCACCTCCTGGTTCACTTCCCAAATGCAGCTGTAACGGCAGGACTAGGTGAGGCTAAAGCCAGAAGCAGGAACTCCACCCAGGTTCCCCACTGTGGGTGAGCAAGTGCCAGGCTAAGTCTCGGCTTACTTAGCCTATGTGGGAACACAGTTTCAGTGCATGTCTAGAGACTTGAGGCTCCCCCTGATTTTGGCGAAAGCCTTGAGAACCCTGTGGACCCAGGCTGTTGGCAAGAGGTCAGGGCCCCCTGGTATTTCCCTCCCCATCACTCTCTTCTGGTAATTTGGGTACTTTCCAGTAACTTGGTTGCCTCCTCCCCTGCCCACCCCAGCCCATACCCATCATGTGATAAACTTGTGAGAGTCTTGTAATAAACAACTCCAGGAAGCAGTGGGTTGTGTTAGGCTACACAGTGCCACCTGACAACGTACATGACGTAGCTAGGCTTATAATATATAATGATGATTATATCTAGTAGAAATATTGCTACTACCCTGAGGCTTATTTCCTCTGGCCCCGCCTTATATATGCCTCTGCTTGGTTGCTAATAAACAGACGGTTCACCTTAACTGTCTCCAGTACTTCAACATCGAGGATACCGTCGCCTTACAATGGTCCCCGGGTGGGTATCCCACAGCCGAGATCCCTACAGTCCACGGGCGTGCAGGAGCCCAAGCACTAGGGCCCCCATGCACTGCGTTCTGGGGTGTATTAACAGGGAGTGGGACTGGGGAGGAAGCAGCTGGGACTGAAAAACGTGCTCACATAGAACACAGGTGTTACACAACGTGGACTAGCCCACTGCACCAGAATGCTGATCCCATTAAGGAAAAGCCCCAAAGGCAGGAAACCAACTGGACATCAAGCTAAGTCCCCGATTATCTAAAAAATAAATATGAATAGATAAAATATTGGAAAATGGTAAAATGTTAACAGATTGTTTCTTAATTGTGAAAAATGACTGATTTTTCCCATTATTGCTTCCATATTTTAGCAAGTTCTCCATAATGGGCATGTATTATTATCAAAGCAGTAAGAACCTGAGTGACTTAACGATCTGTTTTGATTTGCCAAGAGCCTAAGAGAGCTCAGCCTGCAGCTACTCCTTCTTGAGCTCAGTTTTCACACAGCCTTGCTGAGCCCCATGCTTGCCGTGTCCTGACCAATACCGGCCTGTTCTCCGACAGGTTAGAAAATGGACCGTACCAAATGGGCTCTTTCAGGAGCACAGGTCCTGGGGTTCTGGAAACAGAGGCTGCTGTCTCCCGGCCTGGTGCAACCTTCTCCTTCCAGAAGATGGTCATTGTCACCCCAGGCCGAAGTCCGTGACAGTGGCCGTGTGTGTGTTGATCTTCACTCCTCTTTGGGTGCAAGTCTGTAACTAGAGGTTCTGCTAACAGCTCTTTCACACTAATCAGGTCAAGGACAAGCTGAGGGTGAGAAGCACGGAGCTGGCTGCCTCCTGGGAGCTGTCCTGTGCCCTGGGCCTCCTTTCCATGGTGCTCATGAAGCCCTCAGAGCCCCTTCCTCAGCCAGGGAGCCCTGCTCCACCACCTGTCGTGCACAACTGGCCACTCAGCCCTCCCTTCACTCTGCTCTCCGGTGGTGGCAGCAGCCGCAGTGCCCCACTCCTCAGTGGCTGTTCTCAGGGTGTGAACCAGGTGAGCTCTGCAGCCCTCTCCTCCTAAGGCAGAAACCCCACACTCAGCAGCAGGGGTGTCCTTGGCCACTGGGGGTTACATCGCCGCCTCCTGCCAACCTTGTTACCACCACGGCAGCCATCAGCAGCAAAACCTAGGATCATTTCTGCAGGGATGCTGAGCAGATGTGACATCCTTGTCAAACTCCTATGCTGGGGTCCAACCACTCTGTGACACCTTTACCATTCTAGAACTGTGCTCCTGGCTGCAGCAGACAGCACATGTTGACTTCCCCAGGGGAAGCACCCATGCAACCTGGGCTGCTCTGCACATTGGGCTTTCCTGCCTGCTCCCTACAACCATGGCTCTCCAGGCGCTGGGAAGCCACGGTGAGGTCTGAAGGGTGTTACTGGGCTTCCCAACACAAGCTGTTTTGTTTTGTTTTTGTTTTAATTTTAGATGATGTTTACATAGTCAATCAGGGTGGGAAGGATCTAGGGCTAGGGAGAAGTAGGTATGAACATTGCTTCCAAGCTTTCTATTTCTTCTTCCCATTTCTGGGAGGAAGGGAGAGAAAAGGGGATAGGCCATACCCAGCCCCGCCCACCATCCCAATACCCGAGGATGGGGAGTAGGTTGGAGAATCTGGGTCTTTCACTACCCCTGGAATTCACAGTAAGTACTTGGAATTTGTTTCTTGCAGACAATACACTCCCTCTTCTCAATGAAGTGGTGTATCTAAAAAGAACAAACTACGGGGATAGTGTCTGGACCAGTAGTTAGGAGCCCACATCCCATATGGGACTACCAGAGTTCCCTTCCTAAATATGGCTCTTGAGCCCAGGTTCCTACTAACAGGAGGCAGCAGATGATGGCCCAAATAGATGGTCCCTGCCCCCACATGAGACAACTGGATGACGTCTTCAAAACACTAGCTTTCATCTGGCCTGCAAGGAGTGAACCAGCTTATGTGGGAACATGCTCTTTCACATTATAATATGTATATTTACGCATAGAAAATATCTCTGCCTCTCAAACAAAATCTAAAATGAAACAACAAGTGACGAAAACAACTACTGCAACATATCCTTGTGCACAAATGGTTAGAGCAGCACGGGTCACTGGAGCAGAAGATGGAAACACTGCAGGGGTTTAACCACTGGAGGAAGGAATTAAACAGAATATCTTACACACACACACACGACAAGGGGACTTCCAAGAGTTTATGGACAAATGAATTATACATAAATTAACTTCAGTACAAAAGTTTTTTGAAACCCATAAATAGTTTATTCATCATTCTTAAAAGACTCATCTATTTACTTAAAAGAGATATATACAGAGGGGAGCCATGCCCCAAAGGCCAGGGTTGGGCCAGGAGGAAGCTAGAAGCCAGAAGCTGCATCTGGTCTCCCATGTGTGTGCAGAGGATCAAGGACCTGGGCCATTTTCCACTGCTTTCCCAGGCACATTAACCAGGTGCTGGGTTAGAGCAATCGAGACAAAAACAACACCCATACTGGATGCCACTGCCGCAGATGGTAGCTTTAGCCACAAGCCACAAGGCCAACTTCAGTATTATTTGCAGATCCCTTATGTGAATGGATAGATATTTTTAAAATTATTTCCCACAAACTTTGTGAAGTATCCTCATGCAATGGCATATCAGCAGCCCTAAGAACGGGCACGGTAGTGTGGACCGATGCACCTGGAGCAGGTCCAGGGCAGGAAAGCAGCAGACACACCGGCTGGCCGGGAGCTCTCTACAATTTGCCTCCTGAGAAACCTGCAGGACAGGCCAATGCACAGGCCGAAGCAAAGGGGTCGGGGGAGAGCACAGAGTCTTTTCTTTTGAAGGAGCCGGACCAGGGAGTCACACCACACCATTAATATACTAAACACCCGTCAACTGTGCACTTTTAAAGGGCAAATTTCACCCCAGGAAACAAAAATATAGTCTATAAAGCACACTGAAAAGCCTAATTAGCACATCCCAGGAAGGAAGCAGCCTCTGAGAGTCTACCTACGGAAGGACAAACTTTAACAACAAAAGCAAATAAAACACCACAAGGCCTGTCCTTCAGGATGGGGATTCTGAAGGGGCTGCAGAAAACCACGCCGAGCTCTGCCCAGGCCACCACACACATCACTGAACTTTCCTCCGAATTCCGTGCACAGGGCTCCAGCCCGCCCTGCATGCCTGGGTGAGCCTCTCTCCTAACTCCAACCTAGAGAGCCACCCGGCCATCAGGCTATCAGGGTTCTCTGGGAGCTCAGGGGAGCCTGTCTAAAGAGAAACTTCCAGAACACCCTGAAGTCAGCTCAGCAGAAGCATGTGTAGAGAGACGCTGGTACCTGACAGAACCTCAGGCTATAGGGCCACCCTCCATCCAAGAGGGGACCTGCCACCCCCGGCCCTGAGGGACCTGCCACCCCCGGCCCTGAGGGACCTGACACCCCCGGCCCTGAGGGGACCTGCCCTCGCCCCCCCCCCCGCCCCGAGGAGGGGACCTGCCACCCCCGGCCCTGAGGGGACCTGCCACCCCCGGCCCTGAGGGACCTGCCACCCCCGACCCTGAGGGACCTGACACCCCCGACCCTGAGGGACCTGACCCCCCCGACCCTGAGGGACCTGCCACCCCCGACCCTGAGGGACCTGACACCCCCGCCCTGAGGGACCTGACACCCCCGACCCTGAGGGACCTGCCCTCGCCCCCCACCCCGCCCCGAGGAGGGGACCTGCCACCCCCGGCCCTGAGGGGACCTGCCACCCCCGGCCCTGAGGGGACCTGCCACCCCCGACCCTGAGGGACCTGACACCCCCGACCCTGAGGGACCTGACACCCCCGACCCTGAGGGACCTGCCACCCCCGACCCTGAGGGACCTGACACCCCCGCCCTGAGGGACCTGACACCCCCGACCCTGAGGGACCTGCCCCCACCCCCCACCCCGCCCTGAGGGGACCTGACACCCCCAGCCCTGAGGGACCTGACACCCCGACCCTGAGGGACCTGACACCCCCGGCCCTGAGGGACCTGACACCCCCAACCCTGAGGGGACCTGCCACCCCCGGCCCTGAGGGGACCTGCCACCCACACCCGGCCCTGAGGGACCTGACACCCCTGACCCTGAGGGACCTGACACCCCTGACCCTGAGGGACCTGCCCCCACCTCCCACCCCGACCCTGAGGGGACCTGCCCCACACTGGGTCATAGCCACACGGACACGGATTTCAGGCCCACACACTTCAGGCGTCTCCCAGCTTCCACTGCCCCACACTCACCTGGCCGGCTGTCCGCAGGTGCCCCGAGGGCAGGCCTGAGGGAGGCTCGTTTAGTAGGAGCGCCTGAGCCGCTCTCTCCCGCTGCCTGGGCCGGCCCTCTCACAGGCCCTGTGCTCGGGGCCACGCGGAACCGCAGGGCAGCGCGGACACAGACAACTTGACACGTGACACACGGGTCCCAGCGCGCCCCCTCCTGGCGCCGCGCCGCCACCACACGCCCAGCGCCTCGCCGCAACGACGCCCTGCGCCGGGAGACGCCCTTCCCGACGCCCTGCGCCCGGAGCGGCCCTTCCCGACGCCCTCTCCCCGGAGCGGCCCTTCCCGACGCCCTCTCCCCGGAGCGGCCCTTCCCGACGCCCTGCGCCCGGAGCGGCCCTTCCCGAAGCCCTCTCCCCGGAGCGGCCCTTCCCGAAGCCCTGTCCCCGGAGACGCCCTTCCCGACGCCCTGTCCCCGGAGACGCCCTTCCCGACGCCCTGCCGCCCTCCTCCCGAGGCCGCCCCTCTCCGTGTCCCGACACCCCTGCGCCCTCTCCCTGGCACCCCGGAGCACCAGCTGTGGCCGCGAGCCAGTGCGATGCCCACTGTGGGCTGTCGAGGCCCAGCGGACGCCACGCGTGTCCCGGTTCACCGGCTCACTGCGCATTCCTAGTGCCCTCCCGCCTCTCGCCCACGTGTCCTTCGCATCCCATGGACACACAGTGAACACCTAAACGCCGTCACTCTTGCACGCTTGCCGAGAGTCTGAAGCTAACCAGCCAACCTCAGGCTGGCAGGGTCCTGCCCACGGAAGTGATCCGGAACCCGCACAGAACGCTCGTCTTGCCCACCACACGCGTTTGCGCAGCGTCTCTGAGGTGCTGGAGCTGCTGTGGCCGCTGGGATATTCAGCCACCCGGAGATAAGATGAAACGCACGTGGCTTTGGTGCCTGCAAGGTGGATTCCGGGATCCCAGGATCGGCCTAGAACCAACATCCCACGGACACCGAGGAAGGAGTCCCCTGGCTTGACAGGTTGGGTCCCCCGTATGAGCCGCTGCAGTTGAAGTCCATTCTGTTTTCTACACACTCATACTGTTCTTAGAACCTCCCTCTGGCTTCACTTCATCTCAATCAACAGAGAACTCCCTGCGAGTTTGGAAACATTGTTTATCCCTCCCCCGGTGTGGGAACCTGGTAGGGTGCAGCTTCACTCAGCACTGAAAACAGCTTTTCTTGTTTTTCCTTTGCTTTCAAAATGTTCTTTGGTGTCTTACAGGGCTTTTTTTTTTAAAGGTTGCTTATTATTATTATTATTACTATTATAAAGGCAGAGTTACATAGCGAGCATAACAGATGGAGGTCTTCCATCCACTGGTTCACTCCCTGAATGTCTACAACAGCCAGAGCTGATCTGATCCAAGCCGGAGACAGGAGCTTCTCCCATATGAAACGCTGATGCTGCAGCCGGAGCTTAATGTGCCCCACCACAGAGTTGGCCTGAAGCCATTGCTTTTTAAGTTCACCTGGGATGCAATGGACACTCCCCACCCCTGGGACACAGCCCTACGTGTCTGGCATAGTAGCTAATATTTGATTTATAACCACTGGCCCCCAAAGATGTTGACTTCAACACATGGGTCAAATACCCTTCCCCTAGTGTGTCTAGGTGTTCTGGGAGGCACCTGTGGTTTCCGAGTTCACTTGGGGCTGCTGGCCAGGGGTAGTCCCAGACGCTGTATCCAGCACTGGACAGCGCTGGCTGTCTCATCCCCTCATCTCCCCCTGGGCATCCCCCACCTCAACAAAAGCTGTGTCCACTCTCCCAGGAAGGCACCAAAGCCAGAGCTGCATCCCCACCCTGGAAATCAGCAAGATGGGTGAGGCCCCACACCCACACGATGCCTGGAAAGACAGGAAGTCTCCCTTCTCGACCTTGCTTCATGTCTCGCGTCCCCAGGGATAGCGTGTGAGGTCAGCTTCGGCCCTGGGACCCTGCGCGGTGCGGCCCATGTCTGGAGCCGCGCAGCCTCCCCGCCTCAGCCGAGCAGGGCCTCGTTTGCAGTCAGTTCGCTCTGCACTGATGTATATTTCATTGCCCAAGGCTTAATTTTGATTTATTGTCCATCCATAAATTAGAAAAATATGCTCTGGAATTCCATCCCGCTGCAAAGCTGTGCCTGATGTCAGGGGACTGGGTGATATTTAAGATGTCAGAAATACATATTGGATTAGCCTGCTTTGTTTCCCCACAACAGCAGGTGTTTAATCATAGCTGATGGCTGGAGTTAAATGCATTAGGACAGCAGCAGCCAGGAAGATGGAGTTTTTCTAAACCATACAAACTCCGGGATAAATAACTCACCACTAATTGCGTGTCCACATCTTAGATACATTTTTATTTACTTAATACATTAAACAATGAAAATAGCCTCCAGCACTTAACTTCATGTTTAAGGGCTGCACAAATATTTTATGCTAGCCAAGGGTCGGCAGTTTAAATGCGATGACTGCTGGTGGCTTCATTTAAAACCTTAAAGCAGAAAGGGGTAAAAGGCTGGCTTCCTTTGGCAACCCGGTGATGGGGCACTCAGATGGGCAGGTCTTTTCCTAATATCTTCTTCGCCTCTGCCTGTTGGCCCATCTGTCGGAAGGCCCATTGTGCCGTCTCCTAGTGGACCCTCTGCAGACCTCGTCCTGCCGGTCTCTGGAGAGCCCGGCTCTTCACCATGGCATGTGTATTAATCGGAGCTGTGTGAACTTAGAGCAATGACGAGGCTGTGTCCGGTGGGCACTCGGGGTGGGCAGGCGCCGAGGAGACCACAAGCCTCTTCAAGGTGCAGCCACTGACCTGTGACAAGGTGGGAGACGCATGGCGGGAATCGTGTATCTTGACACCACAGCAATTTGATTAAAAGAGAAAGTAATGGGTTTAAACAGTTGCTATGAGGATGAGGCCCGGCCTGGGCAGCTTCTCGCAATTTACTTTAGACCCGTGGCAGAGTGGGGGCGAGGCTGCTGAAAGGAAAGGCCACTGGCAGTTAGAGACAAACAGAAAGGAAAAGCAGGGGAGGCAGGGTTGGCCTTCCCCGGCCCTCCCGGAGCCTGGCTGGGCAGGGCGCGGCAGCAGGCGGTGCGGTGCTTTCCAAGGAGCCATTTCTTCACGGATTCAGGACACACAGCTAGGGGCAGGCTCCACCAACAGTTTGATCTTCCCCTTCACCCCCACCCGCCACCCCCCAGAATATCTCACAGCAACAAATGCGACTGGAACACAGCAGTTTGGAGTAGCGCCACAAAGCAGGTTGAAAAGAGGATTAACGAGGGCTAGGTGCGCTGGATTAGTGGCTAAATCCTTGCATCGCAGGCGCCAGGATCCCATATGGGGACCGGTTCATGTCCTAGCTGCTCCATTTCCCATCCAACTCAGTGCTTGCTGCCCAGGGAAAGTAGTGGAGGATGGCCCAAAGCCTTGGGATCCTGTACCCATAAGGCTCCTGACTCCTGGCTTTGGATCAGCGCAGCTCCACCACTGGGCAGCTGGGAGAGTGAATCAGCAGATGGAAGATCTTCCTTTCTCTTCTCTCTATAAGTCTGTCTTTAAAAAAAATTTTTTTTAAGTAATAAAAAAAGTGTGGATTCTACAGAGTGATCTGCATACTATGAGCCTGTTACCATGAGAAAAAAAGGAGAAACGGAAGACACATTATTGGAGGATGCTTCAAAAACTTCATGGGAAAATAGAAGAGATAAATCAAGAAGTGGGTGTTCAGCCTAGCAGCTAAGACAGCTGTGACTCCCAGCCCTGGACCTGAGTGTGACTGCCAGCTCGCTCATCCTGCCGCCTGCTCATGCAGGCCCTCGAGCCGCTGGGTTCTGGGCACCCACATGGGAGAGCAGCTGCTGTGGGCATTTGGAAAGTGAAACCTTGTGAAGCTAGCTGTCTCCCTCTCTGCCCTTCAAACCAATCGTCTTTAAAAGGTAAACCTTGGGCCCGGCGCGGTGGCGCAAGTGGTTAAGTCCTCGCCTCGCACGCCCGGGATCCCATATGGGCGCCGGTTCTAATCCCGGCAGCCCCGCTTCCCTTCCAGCTCTCTGCCTGTGGCCCGGGAAAGCAGTGGAGGACGGCCCAAAGCTTTGGGACCCTGCACCCACGTGGGAGACCCGGAAGAGGCTCCTGGCTTTGGACCGGCATAGCATCGGCCGTTGCGCTCACTTGGACGGAAGATCTTCCTCTCTGTATATCCACCTTTCCAATAATAAAAATTAAAAAAAAAAAAGGGTAAACCTTCAGGCAAGGCACCATAGCTCAGTGGCTGAATCCTCTCATTGCAAGTGCCGGGATCCCACATGGGCACTAGTTTGTGTCCTGGCTGCTCCACTTCCCATCCAGCTCCCTGCTTGTGGCCTGGGAAGACCTTGGTACCCTGCATCCACATGGGAGACCTGGAAGAAGTTTCTGGCTCTTGGCTTTGGATTGGCTTAGTTCCAGCCACTGCGACCACTTGGGGAGTGAATCAGTGGATGGAAGATCTTTCTGTCTCTCCTTCTCTTTGTATATCTGACTTTCCAATAAAAATTAAATAATTTTTTTTAAAAGGTAAATCTTCCTGAATCTCTTGAAAACCTCTTTGTACTGGACATCTGACTTCCTGAACAACAGTCTCAGAATGGTGAGATCCCAGAATGGAACACTGCCGTTTGCCTCAGGACTCCCAATAGTGAAATTCTACTGAAGAAAATATTACTTTCCCCACCCAAGCCTGATTTCTTAAAAATGGCTTTTGGAGTTTCAGTCTGCTTTAAAAAAATGTTCTAAAACGTTTCATTCACTGCAGCCATGTTCACACACTGAATGGCCTTCTCCCAGTCACAAAGTGTGGGAAGGATTGCTCCCCAGGAGCACAATATTCTTATGAGAAAAAAATCCCAGTTGTGCTGCCAGCTTCATCACAGCTTTTCTGGACTTCTAGCCCTGGGGTGGGGGGGGGCAGACACCCCAGGAGGCAAATGGCTTCGTGCAAGGTGTCTTCTGAGGACAGAGGCCAAGCAGCCAGCCCAGC